GGACAGCTGGCCGCCTTAGGCGGCTAGTATGATATAAATTCGACGACTGGATAAATCAGACGATACATTATATAAATATTGAATATTTATTTTATTAGTATATTGTAATAATTAGACCAAATTATTAGAGACGCTGTAGCTTTTTAATAATTACATGTTTTGCACGAGTTCATATGTATATACTTTTATATTTAAACAGACATGTAATGTGTTTTTATTCAGTAGATTTTTTATATACTTCCTATTTGTATTTATTTTTAACGTATTGCATTACAATGTTAGCCAATTGATACACGAACGTAAACAAGTGCAAACCGGTTTCAGTCGCGTTAAAACAATGAAGCTGTATAGTATCACATGATAATTAAGATTTTACATAGAATATTATAGTGCGTCTATTAATTTGACCAGGTGATGTATAACCCTTTTTTAATAATTCTATGATACATATCGTAAAAGGTAGTGAAATTAAAATTTTGTCCGATTAATTTAACTTTTAAAATATTTTATATTGATTTGAAAGCTTATTCATATAATTTGAGAACTAAATTACACGGAACTATATGCAGCCATGAGTGATTAATTAAATCTTATAAAGCTAAACTTGCTTATAGGATAAGAAATTTTCTTCACTTGCAAAAGTAAAGCGTACAGCAAAAGTTTTTATTTAATAATATGTATTAAGTGTATTTCATTTGCAAAGTACCAAGAAAACCAAATAGACCGAGCCAGTGTTTGACCAAATTGGTCATTGAGGGGGTCTTGTCAAATTGGGAATAACACCTGAAAGTAAAAAGCCTGAATAAGTTTTCTTTGCATTTATTTCTCTTCAAAGAATAAGTTCTATTCTAAAATCAATCTAAACGCAATGCATTTTTAAAATGCAACGCATTTTAATTAAATTAGGCTGTTATTAATTTCTAGGTGGGATCAAAGAGGAAAAAGTGAGTATGATAATTTAATTCATTTACTTAATAAACTAATATAAAAGATTGAAATTATTGCATGTCAGCATCCATATAGGCATCATTTTTATCTACACTATCAAATATAAACATTCAGCACGTGTACATGCAAATAGTAAATCGATATAAAAAAAATTAAAAAATCAGATGAAAATAAAGGCCGGTCTGTGCATTTTCAATGGACCACTAAGTCACTCGATATCCAGTTTTCTTAAATGAAAATTCAGATTTCTTAGGTTATCACCAGTATAAAATTATTAAAAATGTTTAAAAATGAACTAAAAGTAGTATTTTTTCTATTTATTCTAAAGTATTTTTATGAAATTCATCATATTGAGAACTAGCATCACAAAACTTGTTCTGGTTGAATTATTTGAAAAAGAGCCTCAGAGCTCAAATAAATCTTATTAGGCTAAATTAAGCCTTACCTATTGAAACGCAGTGCTATAAGCGAAAGCAGAGAGCACGCCGCACTTTACTATACTCAATACTCAATTCATCATATTGATGGGCAATTTGTTACAATTTAACTTATTTAAATTGGTATCTAAACTAATTAACCATTTTACAATTGGGTACTTGCACTTGAAGAAGATCTCAGATACCCACACATTAGACCTATGATTAGACCGGCTTGTTTATAAGCAAAATAGTGGGTTAATGTAAAGCTAAGTTTCTTTACATAAGTTGGAATATTAATTAATGTCAAGTTAAATACAGCACCGTATAGCACATTAAATTTGGTGAAATATAACTTTCGTCTACGTCTTTTGCTTAGACTTATTATTTGTTTTCGTATTTTATTGTAACCATGATATATTTTTGTTTTGCGTGACTGGCAACTTGGATGCATATTTAGTTAGTGTTCTACATGACTTCATGCCTGTCTTTATGTTAAGTAAGAAATATATAGTGAAAGAATTGAAATCTTTGTGTAAGAATATAGAATGTGTCACTTAAGAGAATTGACGGGCTTGGCTTATTCGAAATAGAATGGAAAGAACAGTTTCTAATGTAAACAAATGCCACGTTTCAACAACCAATCAGGATCGAGCTGAGCACACTACGTCACTTGCAGGCATTCCATTGGGTACTTGCAACATGGGAAGAAGAGTCCTGATTGACTTCTGAATCGTGAACTTAATACAGCTCTCATGGCTAAAGCTCAAAACCCGGTGACCTTAATTCAGCTCTCCCGGTCTTTCACAAACAGAGCAACTAGTGGTATCCGTTCATCGAATTCTATTCCTGCTAAAATTATAGTGGGTGAGTATTGTGGCGTAACTATCACTACGATAACTAGAAATATGAATCCCGCACATATTAGGCATTGTTTTTACTTTATTTTTGATAAGAATTTCTAATATGTCCATAACGCCCACCAATAACTAATAATGATCTAGACTCCATACTGACTGACCTCCAATATGAATTGCTGTGATAGTTATCAAAATTGAAGAAAATGAATTATACACATAAGGGATGTCAAATAAATGTTAAAGCAAGGGAAAAAAAGAGAATATCGAAATGTGCAAGACAACTAATATGGAAGGAGGAACGAAAAATATTAAAACCAGTTTGATTGTCTGATGAAACCAGGTGTTTCTACTAATCATCTTTTAACTCCTCTCTATTTCTTCCGTCAATCAAACATGTTTTAATATTTTCAGTCCCGTTTTCTAGAGAAGTAATTCGTTACATTTCAATGTTGTGTTCTTCTCGATTAAATATTATTTTCCGATAACTGAATATGCATACTTTTTTATTATAAATGTTTATTGAAATAATTAAGCAAAATATAATGACTTGAAGCAATTATTATTAGCTTCTAGTTCGTGGAATATTGAAATATTTGTGTTGTAAATAACAACCGTAAGTGTTTAATAAAATTTATGTAGAATTTTCTTTATTTGCAGTTGTGTTACAAGAATAAAATTGTTATTTGTTCGAATGGAACTGATGACTTTTACTTACAGTAAAAAATATCAGGTAAACTGTTTTATGGGCGACCATGTCATTTGTTACTAGCTCAAAAATTCTAGAAATATCATAAAAGAAATAAATGCACGTGCTTTTTTTTAAAATTTGTTTATGATAAAAGCAGTAGATTTCAGAAATAAAATTCTCTTTTAAGGGGTTTAAATTTTAGTGATGCTAAATTTCACTTATGAAAAAAAAAATCAGTTTTCAATCTAACTTTTCTTGACAATTTATGAAAGAAAATTTCAAGATTATAAGATACTTTATTTTATAATCTTGTCGCAATCTTTTTAATTATATGATACTTTTATTTTCGATGGAGAAATTTGAACTTTTTTTTATAGCACGTATAATATCATATAATAAATACAGTCTGTCTACTGCGAGAAGTCCTTCAGACACTAAAATCGCATTTCTGGCTGTTTCCGTGGTTACGAAAATAAGTTACCTCGAATTGGAGAGAGGTCTAACCATTTCCCATTGGTTTAAGCCTGGAGATTCCTGTCATTTCTTCAACTTCCCTCCATTAAAAGTGAATTTATTCTTGTTCCCATAGTAGATGACGACCTCAAATTTTAGCAGTGAGAAGTTCTAAAGTGATTGCTATTTAGTAATTGTTTCTCTCCTAAGATCGTTTTTTAACATCACAGTGTATGGAATCGCCAATAAACAAATGTGCGTTTTAATTATTATTATTTTGGTATCAATGTTCATTAGGTGTTTATTTGTCAAAGGATGGAAATCGATTATGTTCTGTAACTTTGTAATTAATTTACCTCCATGTTTTCGTGCTGTTTTCGAGGACGTTACGCTTCGCTATGCTATCTCTACGGTTCTATTTAATGTCGCGCTATAAATCAACTCGTTTTATACTGCATAGCTACTTTACTATACCTAAGTACATCTTTTACTACAGTATAAGCCTATTAACTGGTGATTGAGAGTAAAAAAGAAGTTTACGGTCTCTCTCTCTCTCTCTCTCTCTCTCTCTCTGTGTATGCATGTGTGTATATGTGTGTGTGTGTTGACAAGGGCCGGCAACCGAGGACACACACGGGCAATTTTACCTTCTAACCGAGGACCTCGTGCCAACCGAGGACGTCCTCGGTTAGAAAATGGTATTTTCGTAATCAGGGGGTCATGAAATAGTCCCAGAAACATTTTCAGCAAAATCTAATTTTGTCCTCGATCGGCAGCATTTATCAAAGTTGTGTATACAGAGTACGTACGTACGTATGTATGTATGTATGTAGTCGGTTATTATTAATACTAACCAGTCAATATTAATTATAACCAAATAAGTCGGTTAAAGTGAATAATTTAAGCGAATTTATCACGTTAACCGGTTATTATTAATAATAACCAATTAAATTTGACCAATGTCATTCTTTCGCGTTTTTATTAGGGATATTTCCCTATCGTGATCTGGCACGCAAACTACAATCGCCAAGGCAGCAGACTGATTTTAAACTGGATTTTTCTAAAACTTTATAGAAACATATATATGTTTGCCCTGGTGTGGCTCCGAGTTATACCCTTTGAGTTGGTACCTTTCTGTGGTGTTCTTTTTAGTTTCTCGCCGACCGATGCCCGGAAGTAGCCAAGACTTGGCAGTTATTCTGCCATAGACCAGGATACGGATATCTCCCCTTTTATTTCACACTTAGACCAAAAGAAGCGGTTATTATTAATTTTGACCGGTAAGTATGAATAATAACCGGATTTATCATTTAAAGCGTAACACATATACAAAGTGGCATAATGCTACATAAACTGTTTAATCACATTGACCAAACTTCATTGGTTATTATTAATAATTACCAGTAAAGTGAATTATTTACTATATATCTCACTTTGACTGAAAGAAGCGGTTATTTTCAATAGTGACTGGTTAGTATTAACACTAACCGGATTTAACCGTGACATATATTTGAGAATTAGATAATAAGAACAACTTCTTAATTTTTTACAGGAAGTGGAAGCTTTTGGCTACATTGGAGGCCTGCTTGGAGTATGGCTGGGATTGTCTTTGGTAGCTGTTTTCGATTTTTTAGAAACATGCTTCATGATTTTCCTTTTCATTATGAAGAAATTGATGAAGAAAGAAAATAACAAAAATGGAAAACTCACTTACATGGATGGGTTTAAGCGTCAAGTCATGATCGTGAAGTAGAGCACAACACTTCAACTATAAAAATAAGATTGCCTTATAAAATAGAAATAAAGTTGAATTAGCTCAGTTTGCTGTTGATATTTAAAAATTTGAGAATTGTAAACACGAAATTGTAAAAAACGAGTAAGAAGGATAGTAAATCTTATTTATTTATTTACATATTGTTCTCCCCCCCCCCATATATACAGGAGGTGGGCAAATTAATGGAAACACTTCGAAACTAATAAAATTTTTTTCTTCATTTTTCCCAAGAAATACTTAAAGAACCATTTTAGAACTTCAGATGTGTTTAGATCATGCAATTTCTCATACTTATCAATGAAGTTTAAGGATTTTAGAGGTTTGAGGGACCAACAATAAATTATAAACCATAAATAGAGTTTTTGAACACGACCCTATAACAAAAAACGTAGCAATAAATTTGTAACTCGTTGTAATTATTTGAGTTTTTGTATGCAATAATTGCACAAATTTTAAAGCCTAGCTAAAATATTTATGGAGATATGGACATTTTTAAAAAATTATTATTATTATATAATAATTATATAAAATTATAAAATTAAAATTATATATTATTATATATTAAATTATTACTCATTATTTTGTCTTACTTTTTTTCCATAACTTTAAAAATATTCAATAAAATTAAACAAAATTTTTTGAGCCGAAAATTATTGCTTTAAAAATTGAGAAAAATTCGTTTAAAATTACGAAGCATATGAGCAATTTAAGTATTTTTTTAGACTGCGCATGCTCCTAAAAAATTCAACAATTTTTTTTCTTCATAATTTTGTTGTGAATTGCATTTTCTATATAATGAAAAAAGTTTCATTTGAGTATCTTAAAAAATTAAAAAGTTTTAAGCAATTTTCTAAGTAGTTTTTGTGCATTTTGAAAGTCACTGACAAATTTAAATGACAAATGATAATGCCTAACAATAAACGTCTAGGCTCTCTAGATAGCATTAGGAAAAAAAAGATACTTTTATGTGGATGATTCCTAACAATGGCGGTGTCATTTTTAATAAATTTTATTTAATTGTACAAAATAAAATTCGTGGAAAACTCTTTATCATTTTCAATTTTTTTAAAAAGTACTCAGAAAATTGCTTGAAACTTCGTAAATTTTTTAGATATTTTAAATCAGATTTTTTTAAATTTTATTAGTTGCCAAATACATTTTTCTGCAAAATTAAGAAAAAAAAATAGAAATACGATCTACTAAAAAATGAAGAAAACTGACTGCCGCATAAAAAAGGCAACCACGGGTTACCCATTGACAAAATGGTTGTTGTCTAATTTTTTTTGGAAAAGAAACTTTATTGTGTTTTCATTTTGAACATCTTTAACTGTTGATCCTGAACTGCTCGGTACACAATTTCGCAGACATATTTAAATGCAGCTCAGACACAGATCGTGTAAAGCTAGGCACAGATGACATTAGGGGTTAAAATTCGTCGTAAGACTTCCGGGTTACTGCTTCTGATTGATTTTTTCGCCTAAGCTTGAAAACGCGAGCCACCCAATATTATTATACTTGTAGTGTTTTCAATACGACTCGTTCTTTCAATTTAACTTCCAACTAAACAAACAGCAAATGAATCCAGAAGACACCGCAAGCCTGCTATGGTACTACCCAATAAATAACAAACGTTGCTTTTTTACACCAATTTACAAAAATATATTTTATATAAATATATAATATATATTTATATAAATATATATTATTGATTTTTAATAATATAAATATATATATTCCCTTATAAGGGATAACACTCAAAACACGACAAACCTTACGCTTTATTTAAGTTGCGATATAAATTTTCTTAAATTTGTCTTAGGCTCCCGACCTGTAAGAATTTATAAACTGCAGAAAGCTCTTTTGAATGGTAAGATTGCGCGTAAATATAATAAAAACTTTAGAAATTCAAATCACAATATTAAAACTTTCTAGAACATTAAGCCTGTTCACACATCACCTCGTAAGCATAACATAAGCGGAGGGATACACTGAATATATTTCTTCCGATTTTAGGAAGCTTGTGGTGCAGGTGGCGTCGAGCAGAACTCTTTTCCTATGGCAACACTTCACATGCTTTCCCCATTAGCGTGTGGAAAGTCATAGAGGAAGGAAGTACGTTAGTTTCTCTCTTGATTTTCGCATTGATTAAAATCTTTTAACTTAAGAAACTATATGGAACTGAAAACTGCATTAAACATAGTTCTAAAGAAAAGTTTCATAGAAATTTTAAAAAATATTTTTATTAAATAAAAGGGAGAAATATTAAGAAAAGGGAAATTATCGTAGTACATTCCTATACAACTGAAAAGAGGACTAAAGGCATGAAACCGGTCTCTCCCCAAATGGCGTATTCGAGTGTTGCGATCGCGTCTTTACATTCAGTCAACCATCTATGTTTATATATTATATTTCCCCGACAGCGATTAGAGGTGCAGCTCCTAATAAGGCGAGCTGTTCAAAAATGCGGAAACGCATTCACTTTTGATCACATATACGAATCGCATGCAGTTAATACTCATGTAGTAGTTTATTAACGTTACACTAAAGCTGCACAATGGATGGTTGACCGTGTAAAGCTAGGCGCAGATGGCGCTAGGGGTTAAAATTTGTCGTAAAACTTCCCGGTTTCTACTTCCGACTGTTTTTTACACCTAAGCTTGAAAAAATGCACCATCTAATATTATATTTGTAGGCTGAATTGTCAGAACGCAGTCTAAACTCGGTAGTTTAAACCTCAGTTCGGTGGTTTACGTAAACTCGGTCTAAACGAAAAACTAGGCTTCATTGTTCAAACGTAGTTTTGCAGAGTTTTAACAAGACTGGAGCAAGACCAAGCTGATCAGATTTATTTGCACTAAAATTTTGCCTGGTTGATAAATTTACCTGTTGATAAATTTTAGATTTAAGGAGTCGCATCTTTCACTTTTTAGAAAAGTCTCGGGATATTTTGCTTACATTTTGCGCATAGGATTTAGGTTTGAAAATAAATATATGTTGGAATCATATTATACGTGAAGGAACAAAATTATATGTTGGAATCATTGCATAGTTAAACAGCAAAAGAAATATTTTTCATGAAATAGAATTCGGTTGTATTAAATGTTGTTGTATGTTCGTAAGGAAAGTTCGTATGTTGAACATTATATTTCAAACATTATATTTCAAACATTGAGCAATGAACATTGACCTATATTCTATTGCAAATAAAACAATATTTATCCGACTCATTTCAGAAAGAAAATATTTAGAAATAATGGATTTTGAAATATGGATTTTACATAACAAATAAGAAATCAGAATAAAAGAGTGTTTAATGAATAAAACTTATGTATAATAACATGTATGTTTCTTTTTATTACTTAATTTTTCTACCTATGATTTTAAACTTAAGATGAATTGAAAGTGTAACAAAAATGCATCGAATAAAATAATCTGATTTTTTTTTAATTCTATATTAATAAAAATTAGTGAAAAATCATTTTTCTATAATGCATGAAAATTTATGAAGTTTTGATTTTGCTATGATTTTTGTTAGAACTTTTTTAATAAATTCATTAAAAAAAAAGTAGAAAGAAGAGTATAATGAATTACAAACATATTTTTAAGTAGGAAAATCACAACACAGTTACGAATTAAGTAATTAATAAAATATGTGAAGGTAAGTTATGTAGAAAATGAGTTTTCACTGTTATTATTCACTCGGCTCAGAAAGAATATTATTTACCGAATGATATGCAGATTAACATTTAAACCATCTAAATAATAGTGATGATAGGTAGGCCCATTATTTACATCTCACTAGAGTTGCACAATGGGCTATTGGCAATAGTCTGGGAAAAATCCTTGAAGATGATCCGAAGACATGCCATCGCAATTTTGATCCTCTGCAAAGAGGATGGCTCCCCTGCTTTGGTAGCCCGGTGACCTGCGAGCGAAATTGAATACTTTATCGTAGAACAGTTTAACAGTGACCAATACAGCGCATCCTCGGTCCCAACGCAGGCAGATCAAATAGTCAACTACCTGCTTACTGACTGCAGACAATGATGCCTGCTATGATGGTATCCCACAAATAACAAATGGTGCTATTTTACACAAATAAAGCCAAATAAGGATAACACTCAAAACATGACTATACCTTACACTTTACTTATGCTGTGATATTAATTTTGTTAAATTTGTTTTAGGCTGTACTAGTTAGAATTTATGAATTACAGACATATATTGCATAATACCATCAACGCTTTTAATATAAAATTTTCTTGTGGGATGCTATTCGTGATCGCAACGCTCGAATACGCCATCTGGGGAGGAGGCCGGTTCCATGACTTTGGTCCTACCCCTTTTCCTCTCCTCCTCTTTTCAGTTGTATAAGAATGTTCTATGATATTTCCCCCCTTCTTAATATTTTTCGTATTTAATTGCCCAAATATTTTTCAAATTGTTTTCTTTTAGATCTGTGTTTTATGTAGTTTTCAGTTTCGTATAGTTTCCTAACTTGAAAGTTTTTAATCTTCTTGAAAATCAAGAGAGAAACTGACGTACTTCCTTCTCCTACGACTCTCCCCATGCTAGTGGTGAAAGCATGTGAAGTGTTGCCATAGGTAAAGAGTTCTGCTCTACGCCACCTATAGCCCGTTTCGATTGCCAATTTATTCGTCGATGAAAAATTTGCCATGTTAGTTTCCTTTTGACTCATTTGAATTTGAACGTAAAATACAATTTTTATCTTAAATGCTTCTTTTTACTTTAAAATTTCTGCAATGCTTATATTTTGTGTACTATAATTATTTAATTTTAATAATTATCTTAGATTAATTAATATTTCATTATGTTTTGAAGTTTTATTTTTTTCTAACTTTTAAATTTAATTATTATGTTTAATTTATCATATAAAAAAAGAAAGCATGTCAGCTTTGATTTATTTCAACACTTTGCAAATACTCAAATCTTCTATGTATTGGCGATCAAAATGGGCTACAGGTGGCGTCCTCTTTATCTATTGCATGCTTTCACCATTAGTGTGCTCAGAGTCATAGAAGAAGGAATTCTGTCTTGATTTTCAGAGATTAAAAGTGTTTAAATTAAGAAACTATATGGAACTGAGAACTACAT